ACAACTATAGCATTCCGTCATGGGTGCAGCGTTTATCTTATGGAGGGCTTATTAAACCTACTGATGAATGGCTAGCAAAAATTATAGAATGGAATAAATATTTCGAAATATATCACGATGAATCGTATAAAAAAGGCCCCGGAGTTGTACAGAATTAGTCAGTGGAAACAGTTTTACCTTTTACTTTAATAAAAGATTTTTGTAAATTAAGAACTATAATAAGAATTAATTATAGAAATCTTAAACAAGAAAACTATAAAATATTGAAAAGAATGCCTTCTGAAAATGGTGATTGTCGAAAAAAAATTAAAAAGTTAAGTATCACATAATAAAAAATATAGCTCATTAATTTGTTAAATAAATATTAGACAAAAGACTTGTAAATTTATTGACGTACAGTACAGTACACTTATTAAATCCGAAAATTCTACAGTAGTTTACATTTAGTAGTAATTTAATAATTAATTAAGAAATGATTTAATATTTTATCGTATTTTGTTATTTGAAAGATCTGTCATGTTGAAGTAGAAGGCTTGCTGTGACGTCTCACTTAGATCCAAGGTCACGCTAACAAATATACAGGTTCTGGCTATCCTTGTAGTTTAAAGTCGTACTCTACCTAAACATTGAAAATTGAGAACACTAAAAGAAAATAATATTTTTTTCCAATTTTATGATAAGCAAAATTGATAAATTATGTTTAAAATCAACTGATAAGTTATCGTATTGATAATCATACGTATATAAATTGAATTGATAAACTAATTTATATACAGTTAACGGACAGATTTATTAAGTTTACAAGAAAATATATGCATTATTGAATATAATTATCATCTCATAAAAATTCAGGTAAGTAGAATTAAAATTTATTTAATAATTAAATTAAATAATTTGTTATAAGAAAATTAAATAAGTGATAATATATAAATAACACCGTTGTATGTTTAGTTTAATTGAAAATTGTAAGTTAAAAAGGAATTAAATAGGCTATATACATAGAATGCTTTGTGATTATTTAATTAATAGACTTGTACATATAATTATGAAATAGTTAAAATTTATACGTTGCAAATAATTCAATTATTCGAGTTATTCGGAAACTTTTTATTTATATCCATATTTATTTGGTCGTGGATAAACTTTTTGAATGAATAAAACTGTCTTTCTAGTTCTGTTTTTATCTGAGAAATCTATTTTAGTGCAGTTGCTGTGTAAATATATGAAAAACTGTTTGTGTTTAGTGATATAAAAAACATTAATTGTATAGAACTATAGGATGTGGATGCATAGAGAAAGATAGAGAACACGAGAAATACTGTAACGAAGTCATCTAATAAATAAATCTTTTAAAATCAGTAATTCATTTGAATTACTATAGTGATGTAGCATTACTATATTTATAGTACTAATTCATTCATTATATATATATATATATAATACATATTGCATTCTATCAGGTAAAAAATAAAATAGTAAGAGACTTTATGATATCTAAATCATGATTATAACTAAATGAATAATATACCTAAACTAGATTTGCTCGCGTAGGCAAGACAATTCGCTTCACTACTTGACCATAGACTTAACATTGTAAACTTTGACATCGTATATCTCCGGTCACAGGTCGAGTTTTAAAATGCCGTTTGAGTCATGACCTAGACCAAAGTGGATTCTATCTGTTTGCAAAAAATAACTTAAATTGGTTAAACGGTTTCGGGGGAGTTAACCGCCGTACAAATGTCAAAATCATCACTAAGATCGCTTCACTACGCTCAATAAATATAACTTAATCTTTGACTATATTTTTTGTACTCTGTCCCAGACTTGTATTTTACAGTTATTACATGACCCTTTTCAAAAAGAAGTTAAAGACCCATAATCTATGGTATTTCAGAAAATTCTGTTTATTTGAATTATTGTTGATAAGCACAACAAACACATTAATCCTGTTTCAAATTATGAGAAAGACTCACTCAATGGCAGTTTAATATATAATATTAGAAATTTAGTATAATATATTTAACATTAAATATTAGATATTTTAGAATATTTGTAGATATTTTTTTAAACATAAAATACTTTTTATTGTTTTTGTATTAGGTAAAAATGAATGAAAACCAGAAAGATTCGTTACAAGAAGAAATGTCTTCTAATAAAGATGAACAAATCAGAGAAAGTACAGGTGAAAAACCAAGCGAGGGTGAAAATCGCCAAGGAATAGTAACCGAAGTAAAAGTTCTCGCAGATACACTTACATCCCAAATGGCTGGGGCAGAAATGCTTGAAAAAGTCGGAAAATCCGAAAAATCAATACTAAGAGCAGCTCCGAGTAGAAAAAATAGATATAATACTCCATTGAAGGATGACGATGGTAACGAATGAACGGCTTTGAATTATTTGAAAAATACCATGAATACAGGTTATTAAATATAAAGACATCTACATTTAAATATACCTTCTTGTAAATTATCCAATTCATTTCAATGTTCTCTTGAAAAATTTTTTTAATAAAAAATCAATGTTTAACAATTATTTTATTAATATTCATTTTATTTACATAATTTTTAACGTTGGTCTGTTTAAAACCTGTACATTTTCCCTTCTGATCTCTATAATATGTACACAATTAGCATAAACATTTAATACTCAAAACTGGAAGTAAAGGATACGACTTTTAAAACGAATATAATACTGATATACTGAGAAATTCCAGACACGAGCTTATTTCCTTACCATATAGCCCTTATAGGTCGGATGGCCGAGCGGTCAAGGTGGCAGCTTACCTCTCTGGGGAACCCAGGTTCGAATCCGAACGGGCCGAAATATCCCAGGAATTTTTCGGGGGGTGGTCCGTTCGGATATATCAGGGCACCGTCCCTCACGACCTGGTCCGTTCGGATATATCGGGGCACCGTCCCTCACCACCCGGCCGCTCCATTGTGGGCCTAGCCGAACCCACAATGGGTTTGCTAAAAAGAGACTTAACTACTGAAAATGCATTGTTAAAATTGATT